TCTGGTTTTTCATTACGTACAATGGAGGTCTTATTACATCATTCTATTACCGGCTTAGATTGAGTTTGCTTCAGACGTCAGCAGACTAGCTCTAGCACCCTCTCTCTCATGATCACGGTCTGTTGATTGCTCTCTCTCAGCTCTCTCTCACATCTCTCTCTCTCTCTCTCTCTACTCTCTCTCTCTCTCTCTCTCTCTCTCTCTCTCTCTCTCTCTCTCTCTCTGAAGTCTCTCTCTGAAATATGAAAGGCACGCATTCTCAAGTGTAATATTACCTTTTGGTGTATAGAGGCTATCGTGCGATATCCGAAGACTGGAAGTCCTAGAGTAACACGTGACCTTAATATCTCACACAGGCACATAGATTGGGCATCAATGGTTACCTTGAATGTGAAATGAGGGATTGAGTACGGTTTACTCTCATTTTGGAAATATTCCAGCAATATGTTGGTGTAGGAAATGGACATTACAAATCTTACCCGTATTTGGGAATCGAAAGCGGCCTTCAGCGTGAAGAACGAAAGCTTTAATCACTAGTCTACCCCGTCGCCTGAATATGATATGTACATATACACAGAGTATTTTCTGTGAAACACCAAACAATTTGATAATTTAGCCATACTCACTCCACCTCTTACATTAGCGAACTCGCGGCAATAATTGAAACAGTACAAGCAATTGCTTTAATGAAAACATTCACATCGTATTTTTATATCGTTAACATAGACCTTACTTTAACCTTCAGTTACAGGATTCATTTCACCTGTATAAATTGTCACAGGCTTCCATAGAAGAAGCTTCCTTGCTGTTATAACTTCATCGACCACTTTGTATCTGTATGAATTCATGTTAGCTAAGATTTCAACACGTATTTATTCAGACAAAATTACACAGAACTCCATACTTCTATAAATATTGAAGAGCATCGACTAGTATTGACTTGTCCATGTAAAGTCTAGTGTGGGCTTACAGAAGCGGACGCAATACATTCAGATTCGGATCACACTTCTGTAAATACGGTTTAGGATTTTTCACACAGTACTAATTCTTACACAATGCCTCAAATAAAGTTGTATTTTCGAAGTGGTTCTCACCTTGTTCCACTTCCGGTGTACATATTGACCGAGTTGGACACCTGGTGTTACAATGTGAGTTACATGAAAAATCGTACCACCGTCCTGACGGACATTCCTCACTCGAATCGACCGTATGTACCAGGCAGAGGGCAAAAGTACTGTAAGTCCCCATGGTCCCTAGTATGGTGATCTACCTTCAGTTGCTGGTGATCTTTATATTGTATTGTCTGCACTATTTGTCTAATTTTAAAAGTTATTTGCTAGTTTTAATTCTCTAACTGTGATAATCTAGTTATTTTTTTGTCCTTTGTCGACAGATGTTTTTATAATTTAATTGCGTTTGTTGTTAATTTATACCTTTTTAAGTCACAATATGGCTGAAATGTTGCCTATGTGACTATAAATCTCAACTCACTCACTCAAGGCAGGGTTCTCCAACAAGCCAGATCTCAGCACCGACAACCGGGGGTAGATCACAGCAGCTGTGTAAATATTTCATCGAGTTAAAGCCACAAAACCGTTTTCTTGACCATGAGAAATCTTTGCGCGAAGCCGAATCCATTTTAAATTCAACTACAATATAAACATGTGTTTATATATCAGTGACACGGCGATGACACCAGGTGTTAACAATAACATTCTCAGTTTAATGCTCATTTGTTTTCTTGATATAGTTCAACTGAATGTTTTCAGTTGATATACACGTCATGAATAAATATTTCATATACGTTTAACTTCATTTAGTTATCTCATATACGTTTAACTTCATTTAGTTATTATTTGAGATGGTGTTCTTAATGCACATATAAATTTATACAGTTGAGCCTCACTAATGCAGACACCTAACTTTCGGACGATTGATCTTAGCAACCCGTTGATCCGGAAACATGTTGATCTGGGTGGGTCCAGATTAAAAGGGTTTGACTTAACACAGTTTATGTTACCTGTTTTTGATGAACGCTCGACGAAACGCCTCTGCTACAACAGTTTACGTGAACCATTTACCTTATACTTTGATCATTATTTTCTGGAAATAGTCACTTTGGAAGTCCTCTAGGGAAAGGTAATTCTGAATTCCACTCCAAAATGCTAAATGTCAAACGAAACATGGTAACCGATCCAAAAAAGCCGGTTTCCTATGTAAATATTGTACATAAGTTTCCTACAACAATATTTTACTCACAAACCTTACAAAAATCACTTCTGTTCAGGAAAGAACACTACCATAACAAGCATATGTGTTCCTCTGGCTGTACAAACCAACTTCAATTGCACAAATAAATCTGCAGACAATTCCTTTCTCTTTAATGATATCCAAAGTCAGAGTCACCAAACAAACAAATTACACACACATTTAGTGAATTATCAAATAGGAGAAACTATGTTGTCGGATGTTGTATGATAAATTGCTGTATTGCTGGTTTCACACCAGATTGAACCTTATGTTTAAGAAGAATCAAAAGAAAAAAGTGTCTACTGCAAGTTATTGTTTATTGTTTAACTCCGTACTCGGCAATCCTTTAGCTTTATGAAGCTGGTGATCGGTTTGAGAGCGGACATGTGATTAAAGTGAATCTCGGCGTTACGAGTGAACGCTTCAACCACTACTCCACCCCACCGCCCCTTACATGTATTGTTTTTACTCATTATCCAATAACATATATAATAACCTGCACATCTCTTCAAAGGACAGTTTACAGTTTGTGTTTGTGTCAGTAGAACGAGACTTTCGTTTTGGGTGACTTGTCAATAAAGAATATACAAAGTACACATAGCAATGTCCCATGTCGGCAATGTATAACAGAGGCAGCGGAAAACACAGCGTTGTGGAGGCTGATTTAATGAAATTGTGTTTATATTTAACTAGTCCTTTAAGCCAGAATGAGACTGGTGCTATTATCTGGATGGAATAACATCAGGTAACCCCACAGCATTTACGACAGACTCTCTTATCATCAGGATTCGGTTTGATGTGATGGAGTTTTCAGACAGAGCAAGGCGTCTTTTCTTGACACACACATTTGCTGTTTCCATGCTAAACTGATAGTATCTGCATCATTACCTCTAACAAACTCTCATCTTGGTGACACAAGGGAACGTTGAACAATGTGTGGATCATTCTGAAGTGACAATAATGATTTGTCTATGGCTTTCGAATCACGATGGCGTGAATTCTACATTCTCTTTCGTTTTTCAGTCCTTTTTCCTTAAGAGAAGAAATCTTAGGTTTGGCATGAATTTAGGTTTAATTTGGGAAGGGGGTGGGGGTCAGTTCACACAGATGGTCACGTGTGTCTACGAGTCGTGTGGAATTCTGTAATGTGTAGGGATCCATCGATCAAGAACCCAATGCCTGGATCCTTAGTTCTCATCAGCATCCAGTTATGCTCGTACTTTTCAGAAGTTCATGTTTTGAGGTTGGTTGGCTGTGATAAAAATATAGTATACGCTGGACAAGTTATATGCCCTTTAAAAAAATCCTTTTGTTAAAGAGAAATACATTTTTCGACCCGCCCCTCTTCTCCCATTCCTGAGAAAAGGTGAATGGAAAACAAAACTGGTAAACACACAAGCTCAGTGCCCTTCCAGTATCAATGGACGGCCCTTTTGATACCGAAAGAATTACCATCATGTTATCAGCAATGGTGGTAATTCTTTGCTGTAAATATTGTACTTGTTGGTTTAGCACATCATCACCTCGACACAGTGGTAATACTGGTGTCAAAAGGACGTCATCCAAGTCAGTTCCTTGAATAAATCATGAAGCCATCAGTGTCAAGCTGGGAGACTTCATGTTTCCACACTGTCGTTGTGGTTGGTCATATCCACACGGGAACAGGTGAGGTGAGGTGAAATTGGGTGTAACGTCATGCTTGAGAATATTTCGCTCATATGACGACGTGCATGCGTATGTGTATGTGCGGCTGCTTGTACTAGCCCAGACTGAAGCTGGTTTTATAGTGCTAGCCCAATGAGATACCATCCCGCAGTGAAGCATGAATACCCCACTCAGACACATTATACTGACTCCGAGCCGACCAGTCCTTGTTGTACCCATTAATGCCGAACGCCAGGCAGGTACCAACAAGTACCATATTTTAACGTCTTTTGGTATGACGCGGTCGGGGATCGAACCCGCGACCTTCCGCTCTCCGGGTGGACGCTCTAACCACTACACCACGGAGGCGGTCCACACGGGTACAGTAACAATTGAGTCTACATTCGACCTATACATTACAAATGTTACAAGGGCTGTAAACTTAACACCCAAAACTCGGTCATACCCGTTTCACATCGAATATATGTGTGTTGGTTTTCTGGGTCTTTCTGTTCCTGGTTGTGGGTTTTTTTCGTTTCTTTTTTTTCTGTTTTTATTTTTATATACTTTATTTTTTTGTTCAGTTTCAGTCACTATCAAACATGAGTGTTTACTGTCCTTTGCCCGGCAGTTTTAAAAACATGAGAAGGACATGCATGTATAGTATACTTATTTTGGAAGGGGCGTGGCAATGGCACCAGTAGTGGTCAAGGTGTATTATTCCATGAATTGGTTGGTACCCAGTGGCTGTTAATCTTCCCAGGGAGATGATCAATGAACATCGAGTATATACCAGGGTAATAGTATATCGCTTTGAGCTTGCTATAACAAATTATAGTTGATATAATGTATACGGCCCAAACATATTATTTTTCTCATTAACATACACATACACACAGACACAGAGAGAGAGACAGAGAGAGAGAGAGAGAGAGAGAGAGATACAGAGAGACAGAGAAAAACGCGCTATTGCTCTTTGGGCGTTATTTCATTCAGTTTATGTTTAAACCTTGGAAATAAAAGCATGCCTGTCCTTAGTCTCCCAATTTCCCATGTCGCCACCTCCCACAGACTACCAAGTGTTACCGCGGCATGGTGCTAGCTGTTCAGGAGATGCCTGTAAGCTTTGTAAACAGTCTTCCCTCTCGCAATTTCCGGCACCCTTTGTTATCTTTAATTTCCATCTCCGAGAGAATCAGTCTGCCTACAATGCTCTGGAAATCAGGTAATATATTGTTATCCTGTCGCACCCCATCAGACGGAGTCAGGGATATTCCCCGCAACAGCGCTCAGTTCTTGGTGATAAGGCAAATAATAACGGTAACATTGTGATTGACCTTTCACGTTCTGACCCAATATGGGGGATTTTCTTCCAATTAAAGCAGCGATTCTTCAGTGTGTCTGGTTATTCATTACGTTCAATGGTGGGCTTATTACATCAATCTATTACCGGCTTAGATTGAGTTTTCATTCAACGGTCAGCTGCACCCGATCAAATGCTAAACGTGTCGTACACTCATGCACTCCAAAACTGTCAGCTGTATGACAGCGGTCTGTTGATAATAGAGTCTGGACCAGACAATCCAATGATTGACATCACGAACATCGATCTGCGCAGTTGAGTGACATGCAACAGCCAAGTCTGACCACACTGGGTTGTTTTTTTTGGGTTGTTTTTTTTTGTTGCTGTTGTTTTTAACTGTTTTGCATTGTATTGATTGGGTTTGTTTTCTTTTTTTTTGTTGTTGTTGGTTTTTGTTGTTTTTTGTTTGGTTATTTTTTTTTTTTGTCTGTTTGTTGTTGTTTAATGGGGGGTGTTGGTGGGGTGGGGGGGGGTTGTTGTCTCTTACCCTCTCGTTAATGACGTCGATCATTGAATTGTCATTGTCTGGTCCAGATTTGATTATTATCAAACAATTCGAATATTCCTGAGTGCGGCGTTAAACAATGTACAAAGGTTTTCACCAAAGCTGTAAACGCCTATGACCTGCGTTACTTCGGGTTGTCCTCCCACATTACACAGACAGGCCGTGGTACAGCAAGAATACTAGTCGGGGTTAATCCCTACAAATTCACTTGCTACATATACCGTTGTAGAACCCGCAGAGTAAATGCTAATCAGTGAGCCTATCGGTTTCAAGGAAACTAACGAGGGTATGTTCTTCCGCTGTGCGCCTACGTTTGTCGTTTGTTAAATCGAGGTGAGGTGAGGTGAAATTTGGGTTTTACGTCGTGCTTCAGAATATTTCGCTCATATGACGACGTGCATGCGTGTGTATGTGTATGTGCGGCTGCTTGTACTAGCCCAGACTGAAGCTGGTTTTATAGTGCTAGCCCACTGAGATACCATCCCGCAGTGAAGCATGAATACCCCACTCAGACACATTATACTGACTCCTAGCCGACCAGTCCTTGTTGTACCCATTAATGCCGAGCGCAAGGCAGGGACGAACAAGTACCGTATTTTAATGTCTTTTTGGTATGACGCGGTCGGGGATCGAACCCGCGACCTTCCGCTCTCCGGGCGGACTGTTAAATCGAGTGTGTCTGTTGTTGTTAAAGCTTACTGGTTAGAATTAACAGTCACTGACGCCGCTGTTTGATAAATGATCTTTCAATTGAGATGAAAGATCCTTTCAGCATAATCGCGAGTTTCTTTTTCTGAGATATCTATCATTTCTGTCAACCGACAAAGACCACATTTCCAAGGTCAGTTCCAGGTCAGCGTGTCCGAACGTAATTGAAATACATGACGGACAGGGGCAGTAATGGAATCGAATGAGGTGTGGGTGGCTCAATGATGACAATGATGAAGTGTGTTTCCATGTCATGAATTTCTGTTTGATTGAAATGCCAGAAAAAAGGAATCCAAGTCATTTGAGCAATTTACCATCATGCGCATGGCAAGGCGTCGAAATTCGGTTGGCATGGTTACATGCCGGGCTTCAGTGATTCTAGATTCTTCTTGATTTTGAATCTGATTTTTTCAGCCCCGTACCGTATGTCAGGGTTTAAAACAAGAAAACATGCTTCTAAAACCTGCATCACACTCCCTGGTAGACTCTCTCGTTCATCCACTCACTGACTCATTCACTCACTCACTCAGGTCATCTAGTGTTTCGCGTCAAGTGCACTTACATTTTACTGGCATATGTTAAGGTACGAATGTTTTCTGTTTGTTTAACTGAAATGCCGCAATTTCTCCCACTCATTTACTCATCTCGCGTTACGTACAGTTCCATGTTATTGTCATTACGTTAAAGGTACTGACGACATTCGTGACGTCATCTTTTGGTTACGTTGCCTGGTGTCATGCCACTGAGGATGAGGAGACTGGTGCCTGTCTGTGTCACGTGATCCAATCAGACATCTTCACGGCGTCATCGGGTGTTTTACGGGGGTGTCCTCCCACTTCACCTAAGTTTAACCCATCAGGTACGGAAATTCTTTTAGGCAATGTGGGTATGTAACGCCTGGATTATTACTAAGGAGTAAGCGAATTGGGAATGGGAGAGTCCACAAGTAGTGATAAGAGGGGTGTTCAAAGAATGACAAGATGCAAGTGTATATAAATACATGTATTATATACTTTATACACATCAGTAACTTATCATTAACACATGTCCCACTCAATCACAATAATAGATGAGTTATACAACACACAGTTTCTGTCATTAACACATGTCATACTCATGTCATACATTCAGTCACATTCACTCCCAATCACCAAGAAGATGAGCAACAGAGTCTATGTAGTGCATCACTTCGATTTCGCCGGCAACCAGCTAGTGTATCTTTAGCACGTCTCAATCGGTTGTCCACAACAATATACTTCCTCTTCCTCTTTGGCACACGTTGATGACCTTGTTGTCAGGCAAGTCTCACTTCTGTCCTTGACTGCTCCCTCTTAATCAGTTTCACAAACGCATAAATGTTGGGATGGCAGGATGTCAGGGAGTTTAGTTTGGAGTGCCAGCCTTCAAGGTTGTTATGTGTTCTGTGGCCGTCGTTGGCAAAATGGTTCTATTCAAGCTTATCCCACAGGCCCTCATCTACCCAGGTCAAAGTTATATAGTCCATAAACTTCGTACACGTTCATCCATGGGTGCTTCGGCAATAGCGTCTGTCGAAAAATTGTCTACTTGATCGAGGGGTGCAAGTGGGAGGGTATTTGCTCTAAGGGCCAGTTGCCTGAAGTCGGCATCCTCCTTGTAGCGTGATGTAAGTCCACGATTTTGAATCTTCCTCCATAATGCCTGGGCGTAGTGGAAGTAGCAGCCACGGATTTCCACTCCATCGAAGACAGCATGGGCAGCGTTCGCGACGGCTTTCTCAAAGCCTATCTGCAGAATCGGTGGCTGGAGATGCAGATGAAGTCGCTCTGTCTCAGCCCTCAACAACTGGAATGCTATGGTGTATGTTGCCTGGGACTTGTCGGGCAGTAGCATGTATACAGAGGATACTGGAGATAATCCTCAGTAAAAACGTCAGCATTCTTCCTCAAAGTAGAAAGTTCGTCGTCGTAGATGTTTGTTATTGGCGTTGTCTCAGTTGCTGCAGGTTCGAGCAGCCTGGTCCTGAAAACATCCACATCATAGAGATGGAAAACTCGGGGTGGTCATGGTCTGGTCCTATCTTTAATAATCGGTCCTCGACAGTTTGGATTGGAATTTGGAAACTGATTGTACAATATTGTCTATTGTCTATATGTAGGTGTTTATAGGTGTAAATGGATAATTTATTTCATTCAGGTCAAAGAATACAAGACGTAATGTTTTACAGTACCTTTTCAGCGAGATTCGGTACAGCGCCAACATACTGTCTCAATATTATTTCTGTTTACTGGTTACTTGTATCCGCCATGGTAAGCATGTCGTCCGCCTCGAAGATGATGTATGAAAGATACTGACACTTGTACATTCGCCATTGCGATAATGTAACATTGTAAACATAACCTGTGTACTTATACATTTCCACATGTCCTGCTCTGAATTCATCTCAAAGTCACATAAAGCTACTTTAATTTCTTTAGCTTAATTTATTGTGTTTTAAGAATTAATGGAGTGCTGGGATACATAAAACAAATACATAAATGGTAATCATAACCTGTGCACTTATATATTTCCACATATCCTGCTCTGAATTCATCTCAAAGTCACATAAAGCTACTTTAATTTCTTTAGCTTACTTTATGTTGTTCTAAGAATTAATGGAGCCTGTTCCAGTGAGACTCCAAGGTTCAGTGATTATAGATATGAGGTGTTCTGATATGTCTGCTCATTAGGCGATGAGGGGAAAATTTAGCAGGAAATTTGGGCGAAGCTGGTATGCACCTTTACGGGGCAGAGCAGTAGACAGCACTGACAAACGATGTGTATGTTTGGGACATAATTCTGTGTGCTCACAAATCTTCTTAAAACACAAACTTTACGAACAGTCACAACTTCATTAGTCTGCTTTAGTTCCAGCGTCGTCGTGGGCAGCGCCCCTGGACCACTCTCAACACCCTTGTCTGCCTCATGCCGTGTCTGCAGAAATACTGCAGTGGTAGATGTAGATGTTTATGGTACAATACGACGCTCCCTTATTTCTCCCTTCAGTGTTTTAACAACGAGCTGGGGCTGTACATTTCTGCTATGCTTTACTAACATTATGTATAGAATCTTTAACATGTACACGCTTTGACATCTATAATTTATAAATGATAGCAGATACAGTTCTATATAGTGTGTTTTTTGTATGTGAATAATGAGATAAGCTTATTGTACGATGGAAAAAAACATCATAAAATTCTTGCAATAGATCTGATTGCGGGTCGTGATAAAATGGACATTCAAGACAGAAATGTAATTCAGATTCAATAGTAGGTCTAACACAGAAAGGGCAAAGCCGATCTTTGCGGTCAAGTTTGAGACGTTTATCACTTATGCATTTGATTTAAAAACAGGCTAGCTGTGATACACATGGGCAACATTGGACTCAACTCATACCTCTTCACGCATCAACTACACAAGCACAAAACATAACATTGGTGTGTTACATGAAGACAGACATACTAGTGGGCTTCGGAGAGCTACCTGACCTATGCAATTTGACGGCGATGGATTTATCATTTGAAACTTCAAGCTGCGGTCTCCGTTGCAGATTCAGTTTACCGGCGTCAAGTGGACGGGAAGCTCAGCTCCACAATGAAACCAGTATATTTAGACCCAAGTTCAGGAACGGAAGAATCGTCTGAACGCTGGCTGGTCTTGATGGATTGGTGACCTTTGCTGATCAGAAATAGGAAACAACGTCGATATCACTCACAGAGGAACATTGGGAAAATGTCCCTGTTAGGCGGGTAGGGATGGGTTGTGTACTGGTTTGTTGGACAGTCGAATAATGAACCATACTATTTTGGTCCAGCTCCTAGCCCTATACTAAACGTCCTGTCCCTCGATAATGTTCAAATGTATCAACAAAACATTTGCACAAATACTACTGTGTCATTTTGTTCGGGACACCTCCCCCTCCTTAATCTCTCCCATCACCATCAACCCCAGAATATACGACCAGTCCCTGTAGCTCACCATTAACGGACACAGGCCCAGTCCTCCACTGATCCCTCGTGAACTAAAGTCTCTGTAATTAGTTGATCATTCAAAGACACGCAAGCCCCTTCTAAGCCAGTCGTTCAAGCTAATACTTAACGGAGCAGTCACGAAGTAATCCCGTCGTTAGACCGCCATTCATTTACTGATGCATACTACCGGCTCTGTGTGGAGCTGACGTGGGTGATTTAGATAAGTCCCCTGAAGTGCAGCACTCGGACCGTCTAGACTTGTATTGGGTTGTTCAGACACTAGGAAGATCTGTATGCCACATTCTAGCCCTACGACCTCAATACGTTGGAGAAGTGTCACTCACTTGATGGTGGGATGGTTTTTAAAGGAGTCAGTTTGAGCACTGTTTATGAAGCGAAAAAAGAGGCAGAAAAGTAGAAAAGGGTTCCTGGTCCCTCTCTCTCTCTCTCTCTCTCTCTCTCTCTCTCTCTCTCTCTCTCTCTCTCTCTCTCTCTCTCTCTCTCTCTCTCTCTCTCTCTCAAAGTTGCTTAAAGCAGCAAAAAGCTAAAGCTCACTCACTCTGTGATGATTGCGATACATGCAAGACCCCACACCACAAGATGTAACCCAACTACGTCGGTAATGATGAAGGTACCGTAAAATAATGTTTTCGCAAGGGTGTGTAATGTATCATATAACGACAACCTCATAAGCACGCAAACACCTTCAGTTGACATATAAACTACATGCAAACGCTTCGATAAGTAAATTTTAGTAACATGGTTTAGTACATAATGTTTCAGTTTATTAGATGTGCCAGTCATTATTCTGGCACGAATAAGGGGCACAACTCTGTACAGGAATTATCAGCGAGATGTTGTGGTGCAGTATAAAAACCTCGTCTTATCATTCTGACAGATCCGACAGAAATAGCGTGTGTCAAAAGATAATTTGTTCATATCGAAATTCTCTTTCGAAAGCAATGCCGATCCCAAATCAAGATTGTGCGCATGACCAGAATAGAGGGACACGTTGACCTTGACCTTACTGACTTCATGCAAAACGTATGAGCCAATTGAGAAGTGTATTCCAGTTGGAATTGTTCCGAAGAAGACACACAAATTGCTTACGACAGCTCCATTAAACCTGCCACTATTGATGCCTTGCCGAAGATGACTGAAGAGTTAATAGTCTGTTATCTCTTGTCAAATACGATCATTTTAGAAATTGCGTTCTCATACAAACAAGCCGTGTATGCAGAATTTTATACTCGGAATGACTTCTTTGTTGTTACGCGCCGCATTCAAGAATATACAAGCTATATGTGGTCGACCTGTAAGTTGTCGAATCTCGACCAGACAAACCAGTGTCTGTAATTGGACGTCACCTCAGTGCTCACCAGTGTACCATCAGTCGTTTATGGGACCGATATCAACAAACCAATTTTATGCATGATCGGCCTCCAAATGGTAGACATCGGATTACCCCCACAGCAGAGGATAGGTACATCCGAGTACTTCATTTACGCAATCGAACTGTCAACGCTAAAGTGCCAGTGCAGTATCTGGTTTGAGGAGAGTGTCTGTGCAAACCATTCTTCAATCGTTTTTACGAGACGCTGGACTTCGACAGCTATTTTGGCCCTGTGCTGCGACGACTACATCGACATCAACGAGTCCAGTGGTGCAATGACGTACGATTCTGGAATCTACAAAACTGGCGACGTGTAAGTTTCAGTGACGTACCACGCAGATCGCTTTAACTGCTATTCGGTGCAGAGACGAAAACTTCACATGGTTCCGATCATTGACCGCGAGTGTGTTCCAGCAAGATAATGCCAAGCCTCACACAGCACATCCACTATTCAATATCTTCAGAATGAAAACATGACAGTGCTTCCATGGCCTTCTAAGTCGGCCGACCTCAGCCCCATCGAGCATTTGTGGGATGACCTCGGCTTTATCTCACTTTAAAGTTAGCATTTCAAATTCGTGAAAATACACATATGCGTTTCATTTTTGGGAGAGTATGTTATATAGCCTCAAATAACTGTCCTGGTCAATACTGTATCTCTGACCTGTACTTAATGCTCACAGAATGTGTCGCCTTGAGAAATATAACATTTTGTCGTGTATTCCTCTGTGTGGAGCGTGGGTTACTGGGGGTGAGTAATCTGCCTCGTAACGTCCTTTAGAACCCAACAGACGCAGGTTATCTATTTAGTGGCACCAGATGAACAAGTTTACTGGAGTAAGAAGTGACGTGCAGACAGGGTCGATGTGTGATTGTCAGATAAAAGAAACCAGCATTCACGGCATTACGTATCCCAAAAGTCGCACAGACTGAGGTTACAATAGTCTAAATGAAGTGATTTTATGAAGGGAGGTCTGTATTAGTTTGCAATACGTACTCGAGATGTGTTCGACATCAGCTACAATGGTCTTGCAGTGACGAGTTTGGAACCATGTCATAGCGCCAACTGTATAATGTTGCAGTAACATATAATTGTGCAGTAACCGTAGGATGATGCAGTAACATATCATTGTGCAGTAACCGTACAATGTTGCAGTAACATATCATTTTGCAGCCACTGTATAATGTTGCAGTAACATGCAGTCATATCATTGTACAGTCACCGTATAATGTTGCAGTAACATATCATTTTGCAGCCACATATCATTGTGCAGCCACCGTATAATGTTGCAGTAACATATCATTTTGCAGCCACCGTATAATGTTGCAGTAACATATCATTTTGCAGCCACTGTATAATGTTGCAGTAACATATCATTTTGCAGCCACCGTATAATGTTGCAGTAACATATCATTTTGCAGCCACCGTATAATGTTGCAGTAACATATCATTTTGCAGCCACCGTATGATGTTGCATGTTGCAACCGTA